CTCTCCATTCTAAATTGATCTACATATTTCATAGGTACAGCAAGACCAAGAAAAGCTAATAACTCTCTCATACTATATTTACTCTAGCAACAAACTCGATGCATGCACCATCCCCACTATCTCCTAGCCAATAGCAAATCAAGATATTGCATGTGGGTTATAAATACTTGTGTGCATGGATGCATGCATCAATGTCCATTTACTCAAATGCACAAATAACGAATAGACTTAATGAATGAACACAAATATGTAGATCATTTAGAAATAACCTCAAAAAAAAACTATATGTAGATCAATTTGGAATGGAGGGAGTAATATGTAGTGTCATATGTATATGTGGGACGAGTGAAAAATAAGCTTATTTTGGAAACGGAGGTAGTAGCTAGTTAGCTGCTCCCCTCTCCCCCACACAGCCTGGCTGCCTCGCATTTGCTGGCATGCATCTCGCTCCCCGGGCGCCATACGCGTGAGGATCCGATCCCCTAACCGTCGACGATGTCATTGTTATTGTTCTAATTGTTTCCTTGTCACGTACACGCACGGTACGTTGTTCTTGTTGTTCCCTGCAAGCAGCAACGACGAACACGGCTGTTAGGGTTTTTAGGGAATGGGCCAATATAATTAATATCTTCATTTCTAGATATAATCATCGGTGTACATATAATATATAAGTATTTCTGATACACAAATTTTTATTGCATGGGGATGGAAAGCATTTTCAACCGATGAAGTGCTTAGGAGGGGAATCCATATGTAATTCAAAATGTGATCACTGATGTGATTATTGGAAGGGAATATATCCCCTTAATCTTTGCTAAATAACGTACGTACAGATATTTATATTTATGAACGGAGGGATAGAGCATATCTTTGATACTACAATTTGACTTTTGTTTTGTGTTTGAGCTTTTTACAATAATGGAGAAGGTACAAACTTACTTGGCGTAAATTCGGTTTTCTCAATTTTCTAACATTTAATTTATTCATTCGAACCTCAGATAGTTGTCATAAATTTAGTTTCATCCATCGTCCACACTCACCTTAAAACAATTAGGTTGATTAACTTCAATCCTAGGTCTATTATCAATTGATTACTACAAATTAAGTTCGTTGAAGCACAGCATCGCGCCACGAATTGAGTGATTGATATAAACCCGATCAATGCATGCAAACATATGAAAACAACCTATGACAATTATTCTTTTTCTTAACCAACCCTCTCTTGATCACCATAATCCTCATCCGGTCATAATATTAATTAATCCATGAATTGATCAGCACAACACGCGTCACCAACTGCTAACTAACTCGTTGCGTACGTGTGGATTAGACCTTGTCGTATATATATACCAGAATAGATAGAAATGATGCTTCAATTCCATCATTTCAACTGCCAAAATATGCCTGTGCTTTGCATAATATATAGTACTTGAAGAATTGCAGGTGCCGACGATTAATTCAAGTCAACCAAATCTTTCAACAACTACCATGAAATGGACTGATCGATCATGTTGAGAAACCTAGAAAACGTTAACTATGCTTGGGATTAATTAAATCTCAATCTTTTAATTTTTTTAATCCTGTGCGTGTGCTTTGAAGAGAGAATATCTGTACTTTGAATGGAATTAATTAACAATGTTTGCATATGTCGAATGACTCATCAGCTGCCGTATAGCAACAAAGTAGCAGCACACTTGTTGCTACATGCGTTCCATGTGACAGTTCCCAACTACCTCGATAGAATATAAATTGCAAGATTCTTCTGTCAGCTTTTAAAACTACTTATATATATTAACCTTAGATTAATTAATCAAAGTTGAGCCAGTCCACAACTGAAATAACCACTTTCGGGGAAACCCCCAAGCTACCCTCTCTTCATTTCATTACGGCGGAAAAAAATACATATACTGGTTATAGCGTAAATTTCATGGACAATTAACCTAAAAATACATATCAGTATCACTGTCGATTATCTCCTTAAAAAAACGAGATTTGAATAGAGAAACATCCATCCAAACATTTTTTTTCAGAAGAAATTGTGAGCGTAGTGGGAATTGAACACAGTACCTTTAAGATTAAAATTGTACATCCCTTGTCAATGCACTATCAAGTGCATCTCCTATCGATTGTCTGCTACCGACGAACCAAAGCAAATATATAAACCATATATGTAACTATCACCGATCTAGCAGAGAAAATCGATCAAATGACATGGCAGCTAGCCAAAGCCCAAATGGTAGTACAAATTTATTGCAAGCTGAGAGAAGAGATCAAACGAGGCGATGTCAGCACTGCCAAGTTGTCCACGCGTGCATACATCGAAACATCATAGTCCACAGCTAATTTCCGTCGTCGGTGCACTCTGCACGGGGAGGTGGACGCATTGCTCCAAAAAAAAATTTAAAATTTCCTGACATTGACGTCACATTTTTAACCTGTTGTAATCTCTCTTGTTTTTGTTTTTCCTTGTAGCAAGAAACAAGGTAAAAGATTTGCATTAGGTAAGGAGATATTCCTTGTGTGGAGAGGCATCCATTTGTATGATTTTATTCGTTTGTTGAAGATTGAAATTTTTGTTACACCAAAGAGAGAATGTTGAAATTTGGAGGGGGTGAAACAAGATTTTATTTTTTTTTTACTTCTTTAACTAATGTGCAGTGATTCATGCAATATTTGGACATGTGATTTTTAGGTGCATGTGCCAAAATTGTAGTGGAAGCTTGATTAGATAGTAGTTAAATGTTAGTGGTGCCATGAAGTGCTAATGCGATTAATTAATTGAGATTGACTGGTTAAAAACATCTATCGGGTTGTCACCGTTATACTCTCTAAATGCAAATTATTTTAGCGTTCGCAACTTTTTACTAAATTTAAGTTAGGTTAGCTACCGTTTTCTTCTTTGATTCTATAAACATGAGTCCTTTAGCCAAAAAACATAAACTTTTGTTGCTATATAACCAATTTTGTCTTAGTTGGACATTTGTATAGTCACTTTTTTACCCTTCCGTTTCTGTTTGTCTTATCCAAATAAATATTAACCCCACCCCATCCCCCTTCCCAAATATATGACTGTTTTTTTCTAATATAACTAAACAAGAAGAGCAACATATTATTAGAAGCAATTGGTTAAGTAGGGTTTCTCTTACTGTTTCAGGAGGGGGTCATCGCTAGCCAGTGATGTCACGGTTATAATGGTAACCACATAAATTAAAACGGAGAGGTTACCGATAAAAATCGAGAGGGTTACAGTGTAACCAAAGAGGTAACCTCACGATATTGCAAGTCCTGTAATAACTGGCTGTAGCCTAACTTGATTACAACAACTGGTTACAGTAATCAAGAGCTGTGTTATTCAAAAGGGTCATAATTTCCTACTATGTAATTATAAGTTCTCTGCAGGATTTTATTCCAGAACCTATTTGTAGCCTTTTTCTCTTAACAACTTGATGTCTTTCTTATCAGAAAGATAAACCTCCAGGCACCTATTTAACTCACGTAAGCAAAACTATAAAAAAAAGTTAAAGCAAAAGCAGAGGCTACTCTGTTCCAAGCAGCACACATATAGCATGGCATAACTCCTGATGCCAGAATGATGCCTACCCTATTTAACCAAACAAACAAAAATCAGTACAACTACTGTGTCCGATGAAACAAGCAAGCCCTAACTAATTATAGTTCTGTTTTAAGCTCTAATAATTCTTCTCTTCAGGTAAACACCTTTGTAGTACTCACTCCGTCCCAAAATATAAGGGATTTTGGTTGGATGTGATACATTTTAGTACTATAAATCTGGATAAGCTTCATGTCCAGATTCATAGTATTAGGATATGTTACATTCCACCTAAATCTGTAGGACGGTGGGAGTTCTATTGTTGAAAAACAGAGTACAGGTAGGTGAAAACATCATAAATCAGGATATGAATGAAACATTTACATGCTGTTAGTTTTGCTGACAGTAACCATCTTTGACATGGCCGTTGAATATGACCCAGTTCATCAGATTAATCCCAATCGGACAAAACGGATTTAATTACTGTTCTACACACATAGTAAGTTCAGTTAACAGAAAAACCCAAACTTATCTTCAGATCAGTCATATGCAGAGTCAGCTAACTCAGGCATAATAAAAACTGGGGCCTGTTACCTTGGACCCTGACCCAGTCCCCAACTTACTCGCTGATTGAACTTGAACACGACTAACTCAAGCAGACCATCAGGCTGCTAATCTGAATCTATCAGCAGCCCAATTTTCAGGATTAACATATGTTCACATATGCTGACACATTCTGTAGATTCTCAACAGCAAGCACTCCAGTCAAACTGGACCAGTTTATTTTGTTTTTCCTACATCTGATGAAACTGATCAATGCGAGCCTGCAGCACGGTCGCTTCTTGGCAATCCCTGCTGCTGTTCATTCAGATTCAGACAATGGTTTACTACTGCATATCACGACCAGTGACCACTGAGCAAGGAGTAGCTCTGAACATTTTTTTGCTACAGAGAATGGTCGGCGAAGGAGACCCCAAATGCAGCAAATCAAGCTGGAATAGTAACAAACATCGTCATCATCATCAACATCATCAGAGCTCGCACAAACACACACACACACACAAAAAAAGTTCAGTGACTTAACTAACCTGGAGCAAAAGCAGCAAAGCAAAGTCGCGGCGTTTCGCAACAGCAGTTTCGTTTGATAGTAGCTTGGAAGAGGACAAGATAAACCATCATAGAGAGATAGAGATGTGAAAAGAAAAAAATTGATTGCTTCTTTTTTTTTGTTTTTTTTTTCTTCATGGGTTTCTTCTTGTGGCTATCAAGAGAAGGTTTAAGGAGAGAGGAAAATGACATATCTTGTTTTTAGGTGACTAAATGACCAATCTTCCTAGGTAGATAGATGGACGATGAACATGACATGAGCCGATTCGATGCCAAAACAAGAGCTATTCTTGTTGATGATCACTGCAACAAGAGAGATCGATCGATTTCAAGAACAGAGCAATGAAAATTTTTCTTCTTTTCTCTTTGGCGTCATGGACAATGAACACAAAGAGAGAGACAATGCGGCAATGCTTGATGTTGCTGATCCATCTGCGAGAGCAATGGATTAATTTGTTCTTCTTCTTCTTCTACTTGTTCATACAGAGGAGAGAGATAAAAAAAAGAAATCGATGAACAGAGGAGGCATGGCATGGCATGGAAGCTTGTTGATTTCCAAACGCACACACCATTACTAGTTTACTAGTACTACATCTTCTTCTTATTGTTCTTCATCTGAATAATCTAAGCTAGCTTGCAGCAGCAGCAGCAGCAGAAAAAACTTGTTTGGTTGAGAACGCCATTGATGAGCTTCGAGCACGTCTTGTTCCTCCTCCTCCTCCTCGTCCTAGTCTTGTTCTTGGCTAACTCTAACCTTAGCTTGGTTTTGATCGCTTGATCTTGGCTGCTTCCTTCCTTCCTTCCTTCCTGTACACCACCACCACCGGAGGACGTCGCCGGTAATCATGTCGCGCCGACGCCGAGGAAGTCGAAGAAGGGGATGGTGTGGCTGTCGGTGGTGGCTTGGGCGCCGCCGCGCTGGTCGACGGCGCCGGGGGGCTCGCCGCGGCCCGCCGGGGCGGAGAAGGCGGAGCGCGCGCTCGGCGCGAACGTGGACGCCGCCGCGGGAGCCATGGCGTGCGGGGCGGCGGCGAAGTCGTAGCCTGCACCGGGGAAGAACGCCACCGTGTCAGCCGCCGCCGCGACGCGAGGCGCGCGGCACGCGGCGGTGGAAGAGGAAGAGGCGCGCGGCGTGCTCTGGTAGAAGCAGCAGGGGATGTTCGCCGCCGCGGCGGCGGCGGCGGCGGCCGCGGCGCTGCCGGAGCTGAGGGAGAGGTCGGTGGTGCAGGTGGAGGCCGACTCGTCGGACTCGGCGGCGCCGCTGTACCCGCTGTACTGCTGCGAGTACCGGTGGTGGTGGTGGTGGAGCGCGACGACGGGCTGCGGCGGCGGCGGCGGCGCGGGGGCGGGGGCGGGGGAGGCGGAGGAGGAGGAAGGCTTGCGGCGGCGGAAGGCGCCGGACTGCTCGCGGTGGCGGCGCGCCATGAGGACGTGCCAGTGGTTCTTGACGGCGTTGTCGGTGCGGCCGGGGAAGAGGCGGGCGATGAGCGCCCACTTGTTGCCGTACGCCCGGTGCGCCGCCATGAGCCGCTCCTCCTCCTCCTCCGTGAACGCCCTCCGGTTAATCCTCGGGTCCAGCTGGTTGAACCACCTCAGCCTGCAGCTCTTCCCTGCCATGCCATCCCATCACAAACACCTTCAATGCGCGTCGTTCTTGGGCATTGCACCCACCGCCATGGAGGAGCTCTTACCTGATCTGCCGTCGAGCTTCTCGGCGATGAGGTTCCAGTTCTGGGGGCCGTACTGCGCGACGAGGTCCTTGAGCTTGGCGTCCTCCGCCGGCCGCCAGTGTCCCCTCGCGCAAAGCTTCCCCTGAACTCCTCCGCCATGGCCACCCTCCTCCGTCTCCTCCACCACCTCGTCCTCCTCCTCACCCACCGCCGCCGTCGCAGGCGGCGGCGGCGGATGGCCGAAGAAGCCACCCATCATCTCGTGAGCCATCCTCTCTGATCCACAGCAAGCTTCAAGAAATGCTGGAATGGATGGATGGATGGAGACCGACCTCGCGGTGGCCTATATAAGAGAAGAGAAGAGGAGAGGAGATGCAAGGAAAGAGACAGCTATAGCTTTGTTGGTGTTGTTGCTTCTGCAGCGAACGGCAAAATGGGGTAGGGGGGGCTAATATAGGAATAAGAGAGGAGAGGGGGGCTTTGGCTTCGACTCTCCCAACCAACAAAAACAAAACAGAAATGCATAAATGCCACAGGCCTCCTTAAAAGAAAAGTAGAGTTTTTTTTATTGTTGAAAGAAAAAACAATCTTTGTGTATATCTCTATTTATGTCTATCTGTATTGTGCTTATCTCTCTCTCTCTGAACTGAATTGTTTTGGTTTGGTTAGGGTGGTTCTTCTTTTTTATCTTCATGTGAGAGGATTTGGTTTTTGTGTGGGGAGGGGTTTCACTTACTTTGAGGACGATGGCAAAAGGGTTGGAAAAGAGAGATGGTGTTGTTCCTGTCTTGTGTTCTTTTCATTTCTATCTCTGTTCTTCTCTTGGGGTGTTTTTATGAATCTTTTTTTTTTTTTGGGTTTCAGAGGCCGCTCGTGTGGGTTTGGGACTCCAACCCAACCACTATCAGGGGTGGAACTCTGTCCCTTGCAGCCTTGACAAACCCACCAGAACTCCCTTGTCCCTATGTGCACCCCCCACACCATCCTCACACCCAACATTTTCCTCATTGTGACCACACTAGACCACATTGCATCTATCATCATTCCAACTCCATCCATCACTCCTCCTCATCTTGTTGTTAGCATCTCTATGTGGCCATGAATCTTAGTTTGAAGATCAAAGAAGATTTGTATAGTCAAGATTTGTACGGGTAAAACTAGCGCGAGGACCGGGGACCACTTATGCGCTTTGGTTAGGGCTAACCGGTTGAGCAAAAGTGTCGCTGGTTTTTGTTTGGAGAGAGTGTCACCGCTCGTTGATCATATTGGTTGTAGTTGGAAAGGTTGGAAAAATATCTGCATGTGTTTCTTAAATGTTTTCTTTTCTATTTGGATAAGTGAAACGGTCGATATTAATGCCAATTTTGTGCCGGATCTAGCCAAGGATAATCGTACGACGGTTACGTGATCTAAACAATAATACGGTAACTGTCGTGGCTTTGTCGTTTCATAGGCTTTCAATCGATTTTGTAATGTAGCCCTGAAGGTCAGCGTTGAATACGTACAAACAAAGACATTAATGCCCTTGAGTGGATAATATACTTTAAACAACTCGTATAGGTTAGAATTGCCACTAAATATGTTTCTTGATATTATGATTAGTTAGATAGGTGAAACAGTCCATATAATGCCAATTTAGTACCAGAGCCAGTCAAGGATAATCGTGTGACGGTTATGTGATCCAAACAATAATACGGTAATGGCTGCGGCTTTGTCGTTTACTTGGCTTTTAGTCGATTCTGTAACGTACCCCCAAAGGTTAGCGTCGAGTACGAACAAACAAGACATTAATGCTCTTGAGCAGATAATATACTTTAAATAACTCGTAGGGGTTTCGATTGTAACTAAATGTGTCCCTTAAATATTGTAAGCCGTTAGATAGGTGAAACGGTCTATATAATACCAAATTTGCACTAGAGCCAAAAAGGATAATCGTGCGACAATTATATGATCCAAACAATAATATGGTAACGGATGTGATTTGTCGTTCACTAGGCTTTTAGTGGATTCGGTAACATATACCCGAAGGTCAGCATCAAGTACGTACAAAGAAGATATTAATGTCTCCTAGCGGATAATATATTTTAAATAACTAGAGTAGTCAGCGTATTGATCGGACATGTTCTACTCGTAAAGGTTGGAACTGTAACTAAATGTTTTCCTTAATTGTTATGAGTAGTTGGATAATTCATCGATGGAATACCAATTTTGTACCAGGGCTAGCAAAGGATGGTCATGTGGCAGATATGTAATCAAAACAATAACACGGTAATAGTCGTGGCCTATTTATTATTCACTTGTTTTCTTATCGATTTAGTAATCACTCACAAAAGGCCAACGACATGTACAAATAATTGACACAACACGATTGGAAAATATATTTTAATTGTTTATTTTCTTCATACTGCCTTTGTTCTAAATAGTGTATTTCTAGCTATGCACGTGGACAACACTCGTCTAGGTGCATAGCCAGAAATACTACTTCCTTAACGAACATAGATTATGTTTTAAACCAAACAGTACACCAACATTCAAATAACACGTGCACCTTAAGAAACACACAATAGGGAATTCCAAAGACTACATATATTGGCAAGACCTTAGGGTCATGCTCCATTTAATTCTTTAAGAAATATTATGTTCTATCCCCAAGAAGAAAATGTAAACATCTCCTAACTTCTACTTCAAACCTTACGTGTACCATCTTTTCATCTAAGCTATATTCTCCCCAAAAAAACTATCAGAACAACAATTTTTCTACCATCTTTTCATCTCACATCTCACTTGTGAAAAAAAAATGCACATATTCATCAGATCATGCTTACCCGCGATCTAAAAACCAACAATATAAAAAATAATATCTGTGTGCTCCGAAAATCCTTCGATCTAAAGGAGCCCTTATCAAGATAAGAAAATGTTGTCTTTCTTATTTTTTTTCCATTTAAAATGCGAGCGAGGGAACAGAATAGACAAGTGAAAAAAGAAGAGAAAGGGGTGATGGATGAAATTGTCAAAAGAGGTATTTTTTGCAGTGACGTGACGAAGGTCGGAGCAAGAATTTGCAAAGGAAACCGCACAGCTTTTCTGTGTTTTTTTTTTACCATAGCACCCCTGCCCCCCAAACTTTTTGTTCTAGTTTTAACCCTTTTACCCCCGGATGGTAAAACCCGGATGCATGGATGGAGGGTCCAATCCGACCAGACAGATTTATGCAAATGTTTACAGTGCCTTTTGCTGTGGGCTACCCAATCTAGTTTCACTTTTCCATGTAAAAACAAGTACTACATTATATCAGTATAAGTAATAAAAGTATATAATTGAAGGGCATGCATGAAAATAGTTCTGAAAATATCTGCTGCTACTACCTCAGTGTAAAGTAAAAGATTCTTACTGTAACAAACCAATCTGGTACTGGTACTGTAAATTGTAATTTAGTGTAACGGCCATCTCTGTTGAATTAAAGGGAGAAAAAAAAAGGAAAAGTGAGATCATGAAGTGGACATGTACTTACTGCTTGAAGAAAAGATGGTCAAAAACATAAAAATAATAAAGGAAAATAGTAGGGTGCTGTTTCTAAAAGCGGCACACATTTGGTACGGAGTACATAGCCTTTTCTTTCTTTTTTTTTTCATCTTTTTCTCCGGTCAAAATTGCGGTTACTACGACTAGTAACTTTTTAGTGGAGTAATAACTCCCCATCTTTATTCGCCAAAAAATACTTTTGTCTTATATCAGCCGGTGGCCGCTCCCTCTTCCCTGGCTCTCACTGCTGTGACTGCTGTCCTTTTCGTTGATTCCCCTCCTCTAGGCACAAACCATGATCACATTGATCACATTGCCCCCCGTTTATCGACACACTTTATTGCCAAGAAAATTCAAATTTAGTTTCTTTCAAACATGGGAATTTCACATGACTTTTACAAATAACCTGTTTAACCTTTTTGAGTCGTACAAAATTTCTCCGTTCTAAACGAGTCCTAAACTCAATTCCCTCCGTCTCAAGTTTTTACGACGAAACTAGATAAGTACTTGTCTGGATTCATCCTCATAGGTTAATTATTGTTAGAGCGAAGGGTATTGGTTAGCGCAACCGAAATAATTGTTTTAACCGTCTGTCCAGTTTTCTCTTTCCATCTTATAATTCTCATACACCGCCGTTAAACGTATAGTAAGGATGACTATTTTTACCCCCATGGAGTCGCAAATTTTGCATAGTGGAGTACTGTTACAAAGCATCTCCACACCAAATGGATGAAGCCGGCTTACTTGCCCATGATGCAATGCAACTCAACCAAAAACATTTCATGTGCAAACCAAAAATGAATACAACCGATGTAGCCAAACCGGTGGCTTGTCATGTACTACTGTATCTGTATATGCGCAGCTAGCGGAAACAGATTTGGGAAATTCTCCCTGAGTTCGTGCCCTGCCGGAAAACCCAATCTTTGGCCCCCCTGAAACCATACTACTCCTACTACAGGATGATTCAGAAATTAGGCCGGTTTGCAGCAGCAGGAGGAGTACAGTGCCATCACAAACAACAACTGTTTGGTTGCTTGCTGCTTCTGCATCTTCTTCTGCTGCTGCTGCTACATGATGCGTGAGCAGATAGGTCGAGCAGATGATATAGCTAGTACTTAGCTGGATGAAACTGGAACAAGAACAATAGTAGTATAAATGGCATTTGTATCACTGCATTTGCAATGCTTGCATTGCTCGCATCTCATCTGCTCGTCTCCTTCCTTTTATCGCCTCGTGCCATGGCCATTCAGGATTCAGGATTCAGGATTCAGGAACCCTGAAACTTACTACTGCCACGAATGACAAATTAATCACTTTCCACAGTTCTGAACTCTGAAGGTCATCAAGACTCAAGCACTACTCCTATGCGGTAGATTTTTTTTTTTTTAGTTTTTCTTGCTTTTGATCGAAACAGTCAAGCAACGCGTGTGTACGAGCAGTCCACATGGATCAACTAATCACTGACAAAAAGGTTGGGAGAAAAATTGCAGAGTTTTGACTACGCTGTACTACCCTTCACATTTAAAGTTAGGCTGCATTTGTTGGAATTAATGAATGGGCCTTAGCCCACTCGAAGATTAATTCTTTGGAAAATCACAAAAGCCCACCTCATGGGATGGCATGCATGTGGAGTTTAGTACCACCTTGCTTATTCTAGGAGATGGGGACCTTATTAAAAGGGAGGATGCCTTCCTAGTCACTTGAAGCATGTGTGGTGGAGAGAAGAGGGGAAACACACGTGCGCGCTCGCTCGCCTCGCCTGGCAGGGCAGGCGGCGCGCGTGCACGACGTACGCGTCGAATGGTCCGAAAAATTGGCTCCTCACCCTTGCGCAGATGCAGCCTCCTTTTGCAGTTTTGTTTTGCTGCAAATTCGGATTCGTTTTTGTTTTGGAAACGTTCCGAAAAATCCGGTGCG